AAAACACCCACTGTCCTAACTTGCCCTGCATCTCAGCTAGACTGGGGAGTGAGTGTGAAGACGAGAGGGCTGCACACGCTGAGCCACTGGGTAGGCCGAGGGGTAGAGGGCTGTAAGGTGAAGGGGATTCAGCAAAGGAGAAAAGGACAGGGCTAGTGAGGTAGCAGAGCCCAGAAAGTGCTGTCCCGGAGGCTGACTAGCCAGGCTCCCAGGGGTCAGGAGCGGTTGGGGTCCAGGGCCGCCAGCGGATGGAGCCCGTGATCAGAGCTGCTCCACCACGTGGGCACTGGGACCTCACTGGGATCTGGATGGGAGCAGCTTGGCCAGGCCCAAACCCAGGCAGTCAGTTCAAAGGAATGTGGGCTGCGCGGAAAGGAAGACAGAATAACGGCGAGTGTGACTTAGAGACATGGGGGCAGACACAAGGGAAGGGGGGGAAAGGGGTGCCAGTGGACGTCTTGGCTTCTTTCTGCAAGATGCAGGGTATCCCTGCAGGGCCACAGAGTGCCCCTGGGATGGGAGGAGGGGTGAGGGGCAGTGGGCACCCCGGGAGGCTGGGAGGGATGAGCTGTAGCCCAGGTGGGGGAAGGCGGGAAGCCAACCTGGGTTCCAAGGATGAGGAAGCTCTGCTCTGATTGCTTCCATTTTCTCAGCACAATAGAGGCTGAGGGGGAGGCCCCGGCGCTGAAGGGGAGGCAGGAAGGGACATGGTAAGTAGTCCTCCAGGAGAGGGCAGGTGGCTGGTGAGCTTGCCCTGGGCCTATTTAAATCTGTGGGCATGAATTTCTTTTTATTTTTTTTTAAGATTTTTATGTATTTTTTTCTTGAGAGACCCAGAAAGAGACACAGACACGCAGGCAGAGAGAGAAGCAGGCTCCCTGTGAGGAGCCTGATGCAGGACTCGATCCCGGGACCCTGGGGTCACGCCCTGAGCTGAAGGCAGATGCTCAACTACTGAGCCACCCAGAGGGCAGTGAAATATATTCTTAATTCCAGAGGTACATGGGCTTGTGTATTATTGCTGGGAACTGTCTCTGTGTAAATTGCTACAGTCGTTCTTGATGGATATACGTATATATAGAGAGAGGCCTGGTCATGGTTTACTCCTTCAGTCAGTAATTTCAATTTTTAAAAAAGATTTTATTTTCTTGAGAGAGAGAGAGAGAGAGAGAGAGAATGAGCAGGGGGAGGGGCAAAGGGAGAAGCAGCCTCCTCTCTGACCCAGGAACTGTATATGCTGCTGGATCCCAGGACCCTCAGACCTGAGCCGAAGGCAGCTGCTTAACCACTTGAGCCCCCAGCCACCCCACCAATAATTTGAATTTTATGGATTCATCCTCATGTAATCAGTAGCGTGGGCCAAAATTTTATGCACAAGATTTTCATCGTGATAAATATAAATAAAACCCAGAAACAATCTCAGTTCTTAGTCGTCAGGACTTAGATTTCCAGGAATTTCATGTCTCAGTTACAAGGACATAGAATAAGCCCAAGAACGGGCTCCTATCCGTATGGCCTCTAAGTATTGTTTATTTTCACATTAGAAACCGATATTGAGAAATTCCCACAAAATAACATGAAGTAAAAAAGCCCATGGTAAGCATCCTGGTCGCAGTCACAATGTCACCGGGCCCCTGCGGAGCTTGCGAAGCTCTCGGGGAGTCCCCTGCGTCCACGGTTCTTCTGAAGTCTGCGCACGAGGGTCATGGGTGACCTTCTTTACAGCACGACCCGGGCACTCCCGGCCTGTAAGCCTTGAATGGTTTCTCATCTCTTGGCCATGAAGTGCCCTCCGGGGCCGTGACCTGCCCGGTCCCACACTCAGGCTCTCGGGCTCCCACATTCTCCAGCCCTTGACCATGCCCGGGCTCTTCCCTCCACTTCGGCTGTGCTCCTCAGCTCCCTCCCGGGCCAGGCCAACCGCGGTCTCGCCTTCTTCTACCTCCAGGCCTCGGGGAAAACCTTCACATCCCCAGTCACCTTCATGTCCCCAAGCTGTGACCGTGCAAACTAGTTCAGACGCCTGCCGACCCCGAGGTAAGTTTCAGGCTCAGTTCAAGACAGAACAAGTCACCAGGGCTGACTGCGTCTCCACCTCTAGACCCCATTTGCTTGGCGTTGGCTCCATAGAGAAGCTGAGGCCTCCTGGGATTGAGATGGCTGCAGCTGTTCCTGCTGCCTCATCCTCCTTCAGCCCCGGTGGGGAGAGGGGATCTACTTCTCCAAGAGTGACCCGGAATTCAGTCCTGTGGGCTCGGGTTACGGACTCGGGGCACTCACTGGCCTGCTTCAGAACCAGTCGTGGTCACTGTGGATGGGCGATGCTCTGATCGGCTGAGACTAGGCCAGGGCCACCCCTCAGACAAAGAGTTCGTGGGTGGGTCCCAAACCTAAACTAGGAGTGCAGGAAGCAGGGGAAACGGGTCCTCAAGAGGCAAACACTGTATGTCTCACGGGGAGTTTTCTTACTTCACGTTTGCTGAGCACTTGATCCCTCCCTTCCGTGGCATCCGTGATGTTTGTGGGCCTGTAACTGTTGTATGCCATCATTTGCTTAGGGTTTGTCGTTCCCGTAACACCCCGCCCTCACTCTGAGAGGGACCCTGTCTCCTCCGCTCGCTGTCCTCGTGCGCCGCCAGCACAGCTCTGGGCACAGAGCACGTGCTCGGTAACGTCCGTTCAAGAACTATGCTCTAAAAACCAAACAGAGCCCACAGCAGACGGTAAGAGAGTCACATGACAGGATTCCAGTTTTCGTTTTAAAAAACGACGTCCCTCTCCTCCTCTGTCTCCACGGAACTGCAAATCTGAGAGGAACTACACCACATAGAGCAGTGGTTATTTCTTGAGGGTAGGATCAAGAAGGGGATTTTAAGGCAACACTTTTCTTGGTTTTCCTCATCTCCAATGAACCTGTATTATCCTTAACTGAAAATTTTTCTGAAAATATTCTTTAAAATATATTGGGTAAGGTGCTTCCACTTGGAATCAACATATCCTGTTTTGTCAAGAAAACGGATTTTCTTTTTTTTTTTTTAAGATCCTATTTATTTATTCATCAGAGACACAGAGAGGCAGAGACCCAGACAGAGGGAGAAGCAGGCTCCCTGTGGGGAGCCCAGTGTGGGACTCAATCCTGGGACCCCGGGGTCATGCCCTGGGCTCCCCCAGGTACCCCGGATATTAATAGTTTCTAAGTTAAACTCCCCTCGTTTTTGAATCAAACGTTCCCCAACATGGGTCACACTATAAGGGAACTTCCTCCGCTTCTTCTTTTCCAGCACTGAGATGCCTTGAGTTTTCAAGAACAACTTGAGCATCCCAGCTCTTTCCTTGAGCAATAAAACCCTTAAAGCAGAGAGGGCCCTGGGGGCTTGTCCCAGGCTCGGCAAGGCAGGTGGGGCAGGGCTGGGTCCCGCACTGGAGCCCGGAGCGAGAAAGAAAAAGACACACAGAGGTTAGAGTTGCACTGGGTAAAGTCAAAGGCCAGAGATAGGGAGCAAACGCACCCTGGGTGACAATGACACGTTTAGAAAGGTCTCCTAAATTCATGGTACATTATGGATCATCTGTCAAGAGACAAGCACCCCATTGGCTGGGGTGTAACTATTAGGCACCCTCTTCCAGAACTCTCCGGAAGATGAACCAACCCCCGGGGCGGGAGCCAGCAGGAGGTGTGCAGCAACCTGGGGGGGGGGGAGCTTTGGGAGAACTTTGAGGCTGCCGTGGGGGCTCTGAGTGTGCACGGTGCCCTGCTGCAGAGAACACCCTCTGCCTTCTGGCTCCGGCCAGCTCTCTGACGTCCTATCATGCAAGTCCTGACACAGAGGCTTAGTCTAGGTTCTTCGGGAAATGCCACTCTCTTCCTTCTGAGACTGGCTTCTCACCTCCAGGTCTGTGTCACTGCCTCAGGGGCAGCCTTTGCTGCCCACCAGGCTCAAGGTGGCTTCCCCTCAGCCCATCCCTGCCACCTGCGCTCACCTTCCTTATAATCTTCTCACCTACTTAACGCTCATCTTACTTGATAATTATTATTTCAAATCATTATTATTTATTTACCTGTTTATTATTTGCTGTCCCACAAGAAACTGTGTGCCTCTGGAGAAAGCCTGTTTGTGCCCAATGGGACCCCCATCTCCTTCTGTAGGACCGGCAGGGAGTGAGGGGCATGCAGGCCTGGGTGGGTGGAGCATGACTGGCTTCCCCTCACCTCTTTTGGCCCCCACCCCGCGGAACTTACACAGCACGTCCTGGGAAGGGCTTCCACCTGTTCTGGCTTCCAGGGACCACCCAGGTGAAGCCTTTACACCCTCCGGCAGGCAGGGATCTGTAGGTACTCGGGGAAACCAAAGGTCTCTCCCCAAAGAACGGATGTATACACTCAAAACTCTGCCTACAGCCCCGGGGGTGGGGGTGGGGGTGGGGGTTCTGGAGACTTCCACCGCCACAGGTAAAAACTGGAGGCTCAAGAAAAATGAAGTGGAGACGGGGAGAGACTGGAGACTGGAAGCCACGAAGTCTTAGGAGAGGCATCTTAAGACCAGGCCCTAGAAACCGTCTGTCCTCGGGTTGCAGGGTTGAGAGGAAAGCAAGGAAGCAAGCAAGCAAGGAATCGTGGCCCGCAGTCGCCTCCGGTTCCGCTCTCCAACCGCTCCCCCGGCGGATTAGGCCCACCCGCCTCCGCCACTTTCCCCAGGTGCCCGCGCAGACGCACGATTCTCAGATGAAGGAACGACTCGCTCCGGGGCAGAATCCAGCCCCTCGGGGCTCGGGCTCGGGGCTGCCGGGTGCCCGCGGTGCAGAGGCCCGGCAGGTGCAAGTGCACCTGCTGCCGCCTGCGGGGCGCCGCCGGGAGCTGCGGAGGAGGCGGGGGGGGGGGGGGGAGGGGAGGAAGCGGAGGGGAGGGGAGGGGAGGGGAGGGGAGGGCCGGGAGGGAGCGGGGAGCGCGGGGAGGAGTCTGCCAACTTTCAGGTCGAGGGCATTGTGGGAAGCAGCCCGGGTCTGCGGGCCGCTCACCTGTCGGCCGGGCTCCCGCGCTCGCCTGCGCCCCGGGCCCCCGCGCCTCCCCGGCGGTCCGCGCTCGGCTGGGGGCGGAGGCCCGGCCACCATGGTGAGTGACGGGGGGGCACCTGCTGCGGCCGCGGGAGCCGCCGCCCGACGGGACACACGCTCGCCGCCCCCCGGTGGGCGCGCTCCTCCCTTCACTCCGCGGTCCGCAGGCGCGGGGTCGGGGTTGGGGTCGGGGCCGGGGTCGGGGCCGGGGCCGGGTTGGGGTCGGGGCCGGGGTCGGGGTCAGGGACCGGGTTGGGGTCGGGGCCGGTGTCGGGGTCGGGGTCCGGGTCGGGGCCGGGGTTGGGATTGGGGGTCGGGGTCGGGCCGGGTTGGGGTCTGGGTCGGGGTTGCGGTCGGGGTTGGGGTCGGGGGTCGGGGCCGGGGTTGGGGTCGGGGCCGGGGTCTGGGTCTGGGTCGGGGCGGGGGTCAGGATCGGGGCCGGGGCCGGGGCGCGGCGGACCTGTGCTGGGGCGGGGGCTGCGTCCTCGCAGCAGGAGGAGGGAGGCGCGGGGGGCGCGTCGTCTACCGGGACACTAAGCGCTCCGGGGCGACACGGAGAGCCCGAGCCCGCGGCCGGGGCGCAGGCTGCAGAGGCGCCCAGGGAGACCGCGCAGGGAGGCGACCCCTGGGCACCGGGTCGAGGCCGGAGCCGCGGGGGCGGGACCCAGAGGGCGGGCGGGTGGAGCCTCGGCGCGCACCGGCGGGGCCTGGGGCGGGGCGGGGCGGGGCGGGTGTGAAGAGGGCCCGGGGGAAGCTGGGGGCCGCAGCCCTGCCCCGGCGACAGGGACCCGCTGCACGGCCCGGCGGTACTTCGGGCGCCTCGGCCTGCCCTGGGGCTGCGGTGGCCGGAGCTGCGCCCTGCGCTCCCGAGGCCCCTCACCGCCCGCGTCCAGGGCAGATGCGGGGCGCAGGGCGGGGCCGCGGGGCTCACGGGGGCTCGATCCTGGAGGTTTGCTGCCCGGAGCAGGGCCGCTGCTCCCCCGGAGGCTTCCCGGGAGGACAGCGCGATGCCGAAAGGAGGCCGTAAATGATGGAGCAGCTCTGCCGCCTTGCTCGGCTCGCTCGGGTTTCCCAGGGAGCGGGGGACAGTGCGCCCGGCTGGCCACTGCCCGAAGGGAGGGTGCGCTAAGGCCCGGCATGGCCGAGCAGCCCACCGCGGCCTCCGCCTCCTGCAGGGCAGCATCCTTGCTCCGGACAGCACTGGCTGCGCAGGGTTGTTGGTGCTTGCGGGTGTCACACGATCAGGTGGCCAGAGGTGTGTGGAGTCCCCAGGCCTGTCCCCCAGGCCTTCCCCCACAGCAGCGCTCCTGTTCTTGCTCTTCTGGAGGCCGCCGGGCCCTCGGCCTCCGACCCCCTCTCCGGCAACCTTGCAGCAACCAGATGACACTAGTGTTAGCTCCTTGCCGTTACCTGCTCCGGCCTGTTTCAGCCCGAGTCTCTGGACAGTCCCCTTGACCTCCCCGCGCGACAGCTTGCTCCTCTGTGAAATGGGGATAGAAACTGTTCCAAACTGGTAAGAAGGGGTTCTGCAAGTGCAGTCTGAGGGATCTGAGGAATCCCTACAACTTGTCACAGGTCCACAAGGTCCAAGTATCTTCATAACGGTTCTTAATAGCACTGGGAGATTTTTTGCCTTTTCCACATTCATTCCCATGTGACTGTATGTGGACCTTGCTTGAGGCTCACACGCCCTGGGATGGTGTGACACTGTGAATGCAGAAGCAGCTAGGGGTGTCCGGGTGTCCTCTGTTGAGCCAGACATTAAGGAGATTTGAAAAATTATAAAATAGTGCCACTCTTTTCAGTAATTTTTTTTTTGCTTTAGAAAATATTGTTACTATTCATTTAAAAAGTTATTTCTGTTAACATGTAATAGTATTTAAAAATGAGTTGGTGAATATGTAAAAAATTTTTTTCCCATTTAAGTGCATATTTAATATTATTTAAATGCATATTACAGTACATACCAAGGGACACAGCCTACGAGAATAGAAGGCCTTTGGGGCTATTTTTAAGAGTGTAAAGGAGTCACAGGTTTGGTGAGTTAATGCAAGTGAATGCATGTAGAGCTTTGCCCACCGTAAGACCGCAGGGATATGACACCTCATCTGTTACTCCTGCCGTGCGTTAGGGGAGAACAAGTGACCCTCCCTGTTGCCCAGCGGCTTGACTTTTGGGCAACGACCACTGTGTGACTTTCTGTCTTTTTTCTTGCTCTGTTCCTGGGTCTTGCCAGCTCTCAAGACTTTAGGAAACTGAAAAGCGCTCGCAGCATCCCGCCTGATACCTCCACACAGGAAATGGTTCTTCATTCCATTGTGACAGTGGTCCAGGTTTCCGGCCCAGAGATTTCAGACCTCGTGCTTCTTGGGGCTGTGTTTGTATCTGTACTATTTTGTAGGAATCAACTTTGTACTTCTGCACCCTTTGTTTTAGAAACCTCTGCCATGGAAAACAATGTAGGGCTATTGTGTTTCAGGGACTCCTGTGGTTTCTGACCCCGGGTGTAGTTAAACATCTTAGTGGGAAGCATTTACCATTGAATGGTCAACAATGTCAATGGAAAAAGGAGGATTTTCTTTTATTTGTTTTCCTGGAAGAAGATAACAGTGGGGATTTAAAGGGTAAAGTTTGAAAGGCTTTGAAGACACCTTTAGTAAAAATGCAAGTGGACTTTGCTTTATGCTGTCTGCATGCTTCTGAAAAGTTGAAGTGACTCTTAAAACCACATTGTGAACGAGAGTGGAGTTACCAGTTGAAAGACACTCATGTGGTGCCCCATTTCTGAAATGTGAATCATTGTCATCTTGTGTTACAGATCCAGTTCTCATAATGTATGCTGTTTGTCTAAAATGAGATAGACTTACAGTAAAAAAAAAAAATCAAAAATTTTCTTGTGTGATTTTAAAACTTGATAGTTTGAAACAGCATGAGTGCCCTTCTCCTCAATCAAGAAATTCAAAGTTCATGTTCGTTCCTGATCCTGGAAACAGGGAAGAGGAAGAGGAGTTGTAGAGGGTGGGAGAAATCTAACTGTGAACCCGTCGATCCTGCAACGATCCCCCTCTCCCCACCCCCAGTATCTCACTGTAGTTGTCCAAGGCTTAAGTGAATTGTCATAAGCGTGTATTTTGGCAATTTAAGGTCTAGGTTGAGGGTGAGGCAGTTTGTTGCAGTAATGCGTCCTTTCCTGTTCTGAGGCCTGGGTTGGGCTGCTGGCCAGAGGTCAGTGTGGCATAGAGGGGATTGGGAATAGAGGGAGCTGTCCCTCTGTGGTGTTCGTTTGTCCCCAGAGGGAGAAAGGTGTCTCAACAACACCGGTGAGACTTGTATTTACCCCTGCCTGTTGGGATTGTTGCTTTTCGAGTTTCCATTACTGGCTTCTGTGGCGAGTCCCATCAACAGCTCACAGTTTTTATACAGCAAGCAGGTCACTAACAGCAGCTGGAAGGAAATGGTCAGCAGATTGTGTATTTGCCACAGGGTATTTTTAAAAAAATATTTTATTTAGGGACACCTGGGTGGCTCAGCGGTTGAGCAGCTGCCTTTGGCTCAGGTCATGACCCCCGGGTCCTGGGATCGAGTCCTGCATCAGGCTCCCTGCAGGGAGCCTGCTTCTCCCTCTGCCTGGGTCTCTGCCTCTCTCTCTGTGTCTCTCATGAATAAATAAATACATTTTTTTAAAAAAGATTTTATTTATTTATTCGAGGGGAGAGGCAGAGGGAGAAGCAGGCTCCCTGCTGAAAGGGAGCCCGACAATGACAATGCCTGACAATGCAGGACAGCGCGGCCCTGGACCCCAGGACCCTGGGATCACGACCCAGGTGAGGCAGAGGCTTAGCTGACGGACCCCCAGCCCCCTGGCACAGGGTGATTCCGTGTGTGTCCTTTTGGGCCCCATGAATGACGTCATTATGGACTAAGACATAATAGATGACACTAACTCCCCTCCTCTTCATCCCCCCAACACAAACAAGGAGACTCCTTGAAGAGCCCCCAGAGATGAGCATGTGGGGATAGCTCCGGGGGTCATTTGTTCGATATTATTTTGTTGTTACCCCGACCAGAGGTTCTCCCAATGAGAGACGTCACAGGGGTTACTTCTTTCCTGGGACTGGTCCCTCATAAGGTCTCCTTTCTGGCACATCTTGTTCTTCCCTGATGGAAAATTCTTTGTTCTCTGTAAAGTATCCTCGCTATTTACCAAGGAGCAACTCCCCCTTGACCGCCCGGATCCCCCAGATGGTGTGATTGAGAGGAGGGCGCAGGAACCAGAGGCACAGCCCCTCCTTGATCGCCCGCACCCGAGCAGCCAGGGGAAATGGGTGAATCCCGGGGCTCCTGAAAGCAGGACACATTGTGCATTTGAGCTGTGATGCGGGAGTGCTGCAAACTATTTACAGGAATGCAGGGCCCCTGACTATCTCGAGGAAGCTGGCCTCCAGAAATCTCCAACAGAGCCGCAGACCTGAGCACTCAGACCTGGACTGGCTTCCTAACTGGTTTGTGAATCGTGCCTGGGCGAAAATAATACAGGCCTTCATTAGTCTCTCAGCGTGACAGGGCGCAGAGCTAGAGTCGCTTTGGTCTGGAACGAGGGCGTTCAGGATTCTGTGCTTTAGGATCCTCGCTGGATCTCTTCTAGCAGGACTTCAGGGCTGGTAAGAAATGACAGCAGTGCGGTGTGGGTCAGTGGATGCTGAAACTCTACAGGAACCTTCTTTCCACACTGGGTCATTGAAGGGGGGAAACTAAGGCTGTGCGCGTGGCTTGGAGCTGAGGAGCTTGTACTCATTCTTGTAGGGAGGAGACAGCAAGGGACAAATGCGACTCATACAGATGGCTTTAGATTTAAGAAACTTCTCTACACAAAACCAAGAGTGCATTTGGGTCCAAGATGCAAAATGCTTACCAACCTTAACGATAAAAACCTCAGAAATAGCTTGTTTACGGCTAGCTGCCTGGGACCAGCGCACCACACCTCAAGGCTACCTGCCTTTTTATGCGGTTCCCGTTATTTCGGCAGAAAAAGTTGAGAGATGGTGTTCTGAGGCAGGG